CGTAAAATCTGCTTCTGAGATGGCATTACTGGAGGTCTAAGCTGTAAGTTGTATGTGTTGTTGGTAATTACATTTTGTTCTTGTCTCAAATACACTTGATTGAGATTCAAAGCTAGAAATTAGTTGCGCATCCACTTTTTCTTATCCATTCTGAAAATTACATACAGGGTGTTACAGTTTATTGTTGCATAACTTTAAGGTTCGATAGAAGTTTTAAAATTAATGCATGGGTCGAAAAATGCGTGGCTTCCGAAATACAGGGTGTTTAATTTACTTTCTAAAATAGTTTTTTTTAAATATTTCGAACAATATTTGATGTATAACAGTGAAAATTGGTATACAAGGGTTTTTTGGTACGACAAAACGAACCATGGGCATAGTTTTACTGTAGCCGCTAGAGGGCGCTCTCTACTGTGCCTGTAGTGTATTAGAATGCCCGAAAAACATTTCTTAGACAGACGACATCCAACTCGCTCAGTATTTGTAAGGGTGCATCGTCAAATAATGGTTTTGGAAATCTCCAAAGGGATCAAAACATAAATGTTCGTCAGCGCAGATTTACCCGTATGATTCTGCGTGAGTTTGATAGAGATCCGACCACAAGTGTTAGGAGAGTTTCTGGTGCCTTGGGAATTTCAGCAAGCCATGTTCACCGTGTTCTGAGAAATGACCATAGACGTCCTTACCATTTGCAACCTGTGCAAGGACTACAGCCAGGGGACGGAGAACGAAGAATCACATTTTGTCAGTAGATTCTTGATAGAACTGATAATAAAAGGGAGTTTTTAAGTAACGTTTTATGGACCGATGAGTCATGCTTCACTAGACGGGGAGTGGTAAATTTTCATAATCAACACATTTGGTCGCATAAAAATCCGCATGCAGTTCGGGAAAGAAATTTTCAGCATGAATTTAGTGTGAACGTGTGGATTGGTATCTACCGTAATCGACTAGTTGGACCCTACGTTTTGCCTGCAAGGTTAAATGCTGCGACCTTCTTGGAATTTTTAAAGGCTGAACATGCAAATATGTGGGATGATGTTATGTTAGATTTAAGAAGATTGGCCTGGTTCCAGCTTGATGGTTGTCTAGCTCATTATTCGAGAATAGTTAGAAACTGGCTGGACGAAAATTATCCAGAAAGATGGATCGGCCGTGGAGGACCAGTCGCCTGGCCTCCACGATCCCCTGACCTAAATCCATTAGATTTCTTTGTGTGGGGATTTCTAAAAGAAAAAGTGTACCAGACTCCCGTAACCACAAGAGATATGCTAATAGACAGAATCAGGAATGCATGTGATGAAATAAGGACTTATTTGAATAATGCTGTACCACGTTCGATCATTCGTAGATGTGAATTGTGTATTGAACAATTGGGTTTACATTTCGAGCAACAACTTTAGATTTTGTATGTTTGTCCTAATTTATCCAATAGCATTTGAGTTGTAAATAATTAATTTAATTTGTTAAAAATAATATTGGAAAATTAAATATTCTGTTTTTTGTGTTTATTTGGAGTTAGGAATTATTGCTGTGTTTAAAAAAACAATCTAAACGATCATCTTAATTACTTGTAATGCCCAAATCGAAAATGTGAAAAAAAATATTATTTTGCCATAAATAATTAAAAATGCATCAAACCTTAAAAATCGAAATATCTCAAAAACGGCTAACTATAAAGAAAACTCACAGGAGAGCTTTTTTATGCAGAAAAGTGCGAGGAATCAGTTTTTTATTCAAAAATCAAAAAATTACACTTAGAAAAAATTTTTTGTCATTTTAATACACTACAGGCACAGTAGAGAGCGCCCTCTAGCGGCTACAGTAAAACTATGCCCATGGTTCGTTTTGTCGTACCAAAAAACCCTTGTATACCAATTTTCACTGTTATACATCAAATATTGTTCGAAATATTTAAAAAAAACTATTTTAGAAAGTAAATTTAAACACCCTGTATTTCGGAAGCCACGCATTTTTCGACCCATGCATTAATTTTAAAAGTTCTATCGAACCTTAAAGTTATGCAACAATAAACTGAAACACCCTGTATGTAATTTTCAGAATGGATAAGAAAAAGTGGATGCGCAACTAATTTCTAGCTTTGAATCTCAATCAAGTGTATTTGAGACAAGAACAAAATGTAATTATCAACAACACATACAACTTACAGCTTAGACCTCCAGTAATGCCATCTCAGAAGCAGATTTTACATAACAACAGACAGTGAAGATCGCCGCCTAAGATTATTGGCCTTAAGGGACCGTTTCTCCACTACCAGGTCCATTGCAAATGAATGGTTTGCAGAACACGGAAGACCTATTGGCATGCGAAGTGTTTACCGACGAATGAGAAGTTTTGGCTTGTTTTCATACCGGCCACACTGGGTCCTCCATTTAACTCGAGAACACCGACGTAATCGCCTTGAGTGGTGCAGACAATGGTCACTCTGGGATCAGGAATGGAACAGTATTGTCTTTAGTGACGAGTCTCGATTTTGTTTAGGCATGCACGATGGTCGTGCCAGGGTTAGAAGGCGAAGTGGTGAAAGGAGGAATCCACAGTTTTTTGTTGAAAGACATCTTCATCACACTGTTGGAGTTATGGTTTGGGGTGCTATAGCTTATGGTTCCAGGTCACCTTTAATCTTCATCAGAGGTAACATGAACGCGCAGCGTTATATCCACAAAGTTCTAGAACCCCATCTTTTACCCTATCTTGACACCCTGGCAGATCCAACTTTCCGACAAGATAATGTCCGACCACATGTTGCAAGAGTCACAATAGACTTCTTTCAACATAATGATGTCACATTGTTACCATGGCCACCAAGATCTCCCGACTTATCCCCAATTGAGTACGTGTGGGATATGATGGGTAGGAGATTGCTCAATTTGCAACGTCCTCCTCAGACTCTAGAAGCACTTCGAGAGGAGTTGGTGGCTGCCTGGAATGAGATACCACAGGAGGGCATTGACCACCTGATCAGAAGCATGCCTAGGCGCGTTGGAGAATGCGTAGCACATCAGGGTGCATTCACACATTATTAAAGGTTAAAGGGCTTTAAAGCAGTGCAATCATTGTGAAATTTGTATCATTTACTTATTATGCTTCATTAAGTACTTATACAGAATTTTATTAAAATAAAACCATTTAAACTGGGTGTTCGGATTTATATGTCACTTAGTATATTTGATATTCGGTTTTTAAGCACCTACTGCAACGTGCCAAAATCACATAACTTTTTTTTCTACTATTTTGATCACTTACCACTAAGTTGAATTTCTCTTTATTAATAATAAATAGAGTACCGATTTTCACACATATATCTTTCTTTCTTAGCGAGTATTGCGACGAAATATTTTAGACACTGATGTATTTTATTAATGACTTACTCGTTTTGTCTCAGAAATTTCCTCATAAAACATCGTTGGTCCTCTGTCAAGTTGGTTCTCCATAGGCAACCAGCGATGTTGTATGTAGGTAGGTTCGGGTGCGCAATTATTAGTTTTGGCACATAGTTTGGTTTCTACATAAATTTGACGTCGGGTCCGTGGAGTTACACAAACATTCTGTCGAGCTGCAATTTTAAATAATGTCTTTTTTTTTGTTTACACTGCAGAAGTGGAACATAGTATTATGGGACATATGGGATAACGAATTAGTTAGAATAATTGTGATTGTTTCAAATATCTTGTTTTATTAGGCTCTCTGTATAATTAATTAGTTGACGCCATTTTTAATACAAAAATATTTTATGATTGTATTTTCACCTTTACGTGCAATCTTGATTGTATCTGCACTTAAAACACACCAATCTATCCAACAACTCTTTTAAACATCTAGTTACTTTACCTGCTGTTATTTAATAAAGTAGTGACGAGAGATGAAGGTTAGTTATTTTTTCTTAGAATGTCACAAACATAGAATGTACTGTCAATGTCATTTTTATTTGAAAAATCTCACAGAGATGACCAAAACGCCAGTAAAGCGAAATTATTATATTTGTGGTTCCACTTGACCAGAGAAATATGAAATTATCCAAAAAAGCTGTATTCGGATCTAAAGGAAATGTACGTTTGGAAATCAAATCAGATATGTGGGGCTCATTATACAGGGTTACTTTGAAGTTGAGTCATTAATTTTCAGATAATGATTGTAGAAGGAAGATAAACCAAAATATGTGTGTAAAAATAGAAAAAAAATTAAAAAAAAAATGTTTACCTTGTTTTATAAAACATCCTCCCGACAAGTATTTCAGTGCGGACCTGTATTTGATCGTGAGGTCTTGGAGCACCGGCATGCCGTCCCCTGTGAGGTCTTAAGTCACCTGATTCACGAGCCCGTTGTACTACATTAACAAAGGCACGAGGGGTTGGTTGCACTCGATTGGGAAACCGATCCGCATAAACATGTGCCATTTTTTATTTCGTTTGAGCCACGCAACAGACACCACTATTCACTCACGCGTTGCCGACGGACACTGACTGTATACAACTGAATAAAATAATTGTAAAAACATCGTTCCAAATTCTTTCGCATTTTTGTTTCCGATGCGATGAACCGATAAGGCGGATTATATCCGTTGTTGCCAAACACGAGCACATAATATTATTATTGAGACAGGGTGGTACTCAAACTTCCAAAGGACTATAACTTTGTTACTTTAATTTTACCAGAAAAATGGTAAAGGAAAAAAACATTTCTTTTGATCAGATCTATGATTCCAATATGAGAACTTTTTTAAACTTCGCTGAACTGAAGAATTTTGAAAATTCAAATTTCCAGACTACCGTATGACCTAATGGCTCCATGGAGATCCATATTATTCATTGATATTAACATATCAACAGTTGGTTATACATAGTTTTCTTGAAAGGCTGGACTTTTCTTCGTTTGGTACCTTTAATCCCAAGAAAACGTGTGGGAGCACACCTCAAGTCCTTATTTCGTTTTTTCAACTTTCCTATTACGGGGACTATAGAAAATAATACATCTGTAGATGCTTTACAACCTTTTATCAAAAAACTGGCTGACATATCATACAATAAACTCTTGGTGATTTGTTTCTCTTACATCCAGGACGTTTTCAACAATTTTCATATTACCTACATTTTTCTACATTTATGTGTATACAAAGCGTTTTTATAAACATATCTAAATTTAACGATTAAAAAATCACAAAATTTTTGGAAAGGTCTTAAAAATAACAGAAAGGATAGGTATTCGATGTGACCTTATTTAACAGCCTTAAAGTACGGAAAGCAAATGACTCAAAAGATATATTGAGCATATCCGAGAATCTTCCTTCTAATCTTACCGATCAAGATGATGAAACACCCTATTTAGAAAAATCTGCCCATTCTATAACTGTCAATACTTTACCAACTCTACAATCAATTCACGGGTGGTATCTAGGAATCCATTTAGGCCAATGCACATTTTCTCGAAAACTTAAAAAGATCTGTTGGATTATTGGTGGGAAATATAAACTATACCTGAACAACCAGGTAGTTGGTCTTTGATGCTTTGTTCAAACCAAACTGGGTATAAAATCCTATCTCCAGACTTCTCGGGTCAAGCGCGCTGTTCATTCTGTCAATACCCAATGTACTGTTTGAGTCACAAAACTAACATAAAAATAATAACGGAATATCACGTTTTCGGGGTATCTATTTCAATCATTACGACCGTTCATTATCATTAAATGGTAACTACGCAGCATTCTGGGAAGAACTGTAACAATAATTATTCACAAGAAGCAAATTAACAAATGAATGACCGTTATTATCTTAGTTCTTGGGGAACATTTAGTACCTCAATCTCATCCAATCTGCAGTTACAGCTAAACGAACCTCTAATGCAGTTGAGGCAAAATGAAGTATACATATTATTGTAGAGAGCATCAAAAATTATGGGCCAAACACGTTTAAGTCTTGTACAGCTTATTTCAGTAGCAGCTAGACGTATAACAGACATTTTCTTAAAATTGCCTAGTCTTACTACAAAAATAAGATAACACAGTATCTCGTATTTATGTATGTATATGTATATACAAAGAAGGCAATGACCTCAAGCATATATACAAATGTTTTTCCAGGCTCCCCACGAATATATAGGTCTCTAGAGGCTGCTACTGGAGGTCGAATTTTCTTTTTAGATCGCCCAGGGTGGAATAGTTTTGAGGCAAAATTTGTATGAATGTATGTCTTTTTCACATAGTGTATAATTATAGCACAAAAAATTAATATTTTGTGGAAGAAGGAGAATATTGAGCTTTATTCCAATATGATATGACGGTGAGAACAGAAATATTTTCAAAATGGTGGAAACAGGACACCGGATTATACAGGGTGCAAAGTTAATAGTGGATAACGGAAGTCGGGTGATAGAGGCCCCAAAACCTATCGAATGAACCCCTATATGTGTGGTCCGAAATTTTATAGTTCAGAAGATATTTACAATTATGTAAAATTTTGAAGAAATGGGATAATGAGCTTTCAATCGCAATTATAACTAAACTAAAAGATGAGACAAATGGTTTGTTCTAGCAAGATTCATGTCACTTTTTAACAGAGCTTATTAAAAATCAAAGCAAAAAATATTCAATTAATTTTTTAGTGAAAAATCTCTTCCATCCCTCAGCTTTGGAGGGCAATATAAAAAAATTGAGGTTGTATTCCATTATTCATTTTATTGTAAAAACTATTTCAGTCCATGTAGAATTAACCCTGAAAATTTCAGCTTCCTTCGATGAGTGTATCATGTCACATTCGTTGTTGTGATGCGATAAACGTAAAAAACGCAATAGAATTCTCACCACCTACAAGTAGAGAAGCTATTGTGTTTAGCCGCTCTTTATGGCGATTTAAATAGAATTTCTTGTTTACATGTAAAGATACCTACGTGCGTCAAACATACAGATTTTTTAAGGTGAGGAACATATGGTAGCAAGCTGAAATTTTCAGGGTTAATTCTACATGGATTGAAATGGTTTTTACAATAAAATGAATGATGAAATACAACCTCAATTTTTTTTGCCGCACACGAAGTTGAGTGATGGAAGAGATTTTTCACAAAAAAAAGAATTTAAGATTTCATGTGTTGATTTCTAATAAGCTCTGTTAAAAACTGCCATAACCATTGCTAAAACAAACCATCTCAGAAAAAAAAAATCACAGCCCAGAACCTAATGGCTTAGTTGTAATTGCGATTGAAAGTTCATTACCCCGTTTTTCCGAAATTTCACAAAATTGCAAGTATCTCCTGAACTATAGAATTCGGACCTCACATATAGGGGTTTATTGGACAGGTTTTGAGGCCCTATATCACCTGACTTCCGTTGATTCACTACTAACTTTGCACACTGTATAACAGCGCTGGTATGTGCTGAAACAATAACAATATTGTTTTCTATAAATACACTCTCAAAATTTTGTTAAATCATACACTACGATTCAAGACTAATTTAAGAAAAAAAGATTTTCAGTAGTATCCATTAAGGGGTCTGTATGTCCTTGTGGGGCATTTTGTCACATGAACCTGTAGTCATTGTTTTTTCCTAATACGCATCAGAGAAATTCGTACCTTATGATCGACACCCTGTGTATGAACCCTAGTGGAGCACAAGAATAATACTCGTACTTTGGCCAAAAGCTGCAAGAAAATACTCCTGTACTGAAAATCAATAGACACGTGCGTTTCCGTTGATTATTACTGTCTTGTACAAAACCGTTATTTAGTTAAATATTCCCTGTATAGCGCTTACATGAACTTTCCTTCTTGGTGACCATATTGCGTTTATTTGTTGCTCTATACGTTAGTATTACAGAAATTAACAAATAAGTCATTACGCCCTCCTGTTGCCTACAAAAGGTGGCGAGTATGTTTAAAAATGTAATTTCATCAGTTACGATTACCAAATTTAATTTCAGCCTAACGAAATCACTTTTTCAAATGCCTCTTCAACTGCATCACACTTTGCTCACACTCTCAAGTCACAATTCACTACGCCTTCTTTCTCTTCTTGTGCTATGTACGTTGAGTGCTGATCTTCGGTTTTCTCAAGGTCTTGACAGGCTTCAAGGGATGCGAGGGGTACTTGTCCCCACCCCCGTTCGCTGCTATGTCATCACGGAAGGCCAGGAAGCCCAGCTGGGCATGTGAAGCCTCGTTCAGGGCTCGGGAGCGTATGCAAGCCCTGTATTGGTCGGCGGAGAGTTTTTGGCCGCCTGGACTTCCTGAGCACACCTGAAAAAAATAAATAAATGAAAAGGCCTATCCAGAATATACTTCGAAGTTGAGTCATTTATTTTAACAGTGAGTAGATCTGATCAAAAGAAATGTTTTTTTCTTTTAACATTTTTGTGGTAAAATTAAAGTAACAAAGTTATAGCCCTTTAGAAGTTTGAGTACCGCCCTGTCTCAATAATGATATTATGTGCTCGTGTTTGGCAACAACGGATATAATCCGCCTTATCGGTTCATCGCATCGGAAACAAAAAAGCGAAAGAATTTGAAACGCTGATCACGATGTTTCTATTCAGTCAATGTGTCAGTCGGTAACGCGTGAGTGAATAGTGGTGTTTGCTGCGTGGTTCAAACGAAATAAAAAATGGCACATGTTTATGCGGATCGGTTTCCCAATCGAGTGCAACCAACCCCTCGTGCCTTTGTTAATGTAGTACAACGGGCTCGTGAATCAGGTGACTTAAGACCTCACAGAGGAGGGCATGCCGGTGCTCCAAGACCTCACGATCAAATACAGGTTCGCACTGAAATACTTGTCGGGAGGATACTTTATAAAACAAGGTGAATTTTTTTTTAATTTTTTTTTTCATTTTTACACACATATTTTGGTTTATCTTCCTTCTACAATCATTATCTGAAAATTAATGCCCAACTTCAAAGGTATAAGGTCAATGGAAATAAGGTAGCATAAAGGACCAAGATTGGAACCTGGGAAACGGTGGGACATACGAAGTCGCTTGAATGATGGAAAAAGTTGCGCATTTCGATAAGTAAGAAGATCGCACCAAGAAAGGTCCACATTTCACAGTATTTACAGAGATAGACGAGAGAAACTACAATTTTCCCAAAATTGCTTTTATTTTTCCTCATGTTATTATAAAATGAATTGCACATTGCCATTTCTACTTCTTTCTTCTGGTTCAATACCACGTTTTGTCTCTTGTCCTCAATTATCAATTTTATTCTTTTTCATGTGTGCCATATTGGATATTTGCACGAGTACATCTAAGTTTGCTTCCAGAAATATACAATAAGCGATACATTAATATTGGAAGACTATAATTGGAACAGAAAATCTTTCGGTGAGCATATAATATAAAAAACGTTGTAATGTTTAAAAAAAGTAGTAATTTAAAATAGTTGATCTTCACTCATCAAATAAGCATTTTGGAAAAGTCCGAGCTCCAAAGCTTATCCCATTTCCCTGGTTACCTAAGTAAGTGCGCAACGTTGCCTGCATTTAGTTTATTTTATAGGTAACGTTTCTGTTATCACGATAGTGAGAGGTAAATTTGAAACACCCTATATATATATATATATATATATATATTCAGTACCAGAGCTTTAGTCTTAAAAGCTCTTGGGTAATGTAAAATTCGGAACCCTACGAGGATGCTGTTTTTTATTTAAGAAGGTTGCTTTGCTATAAGGGAGGGTGATATATTTTTTTATATCAAAGCAGTCGCGCATGTAGAAGCCTAAAAGCCTGGACCCTGCGGTTGCTATGAGGACCTAAAGAAACCTTGTTAATCTGATTTTATGACTGCTTAAGGTTAGTAGAACTGGGGGAAGCCTCTTCATGTAGATTTTACCACAATCTTGATACCCTAGGGATAATGGGACTTCGAAGTCAGGCGGGGCTGTATGGCAGGCACATCACGCGGTGGTGTTGCTTCCTCACATTGACTAACTCGCAAACCTGTGGACGTTTCTCCGATACTAGTAAGTATTTGTAGAAGCCGAAATGTGGAGCAAACGGTAAGCGTGTTAATTTGGCTCAAGTGGAATATATAAAAGCTGAAAATTTGATATTCCCGACTCATCTTCTACATACAAAACCAGTTCTTCAAAACCTAAACTGAAGTACAGAAGAAAAAACTGCCTCGAGTAGGTTGACCCTGCGCTTCACACGCAACGTCATCAGTTCATAAAGGAATAACTTCAGCACAAGTTAGACCCTCTGAGGCAAAAGTTAGTTATGGACATGTATAACAGAGAAGTTAAACAGATCAAGTCAGTCCAATAGGCCCAGACAATTAGTCCATACAGATTCTTTCCTTGCCGTACAGGTAGTACCGTCCATCTGGCAACGTCCCCTCTCCCCGATACCTAATCACAAGATGCGTCAGACGCATCAGCGCGGTTATAATGCCAGGACATTTAGGAATACCGGCACGCCCGCCGGCGAGCCCAGAGACCAGAGGCGGGATTAGTATCAAAAGCTGTCCTCTATCATTCACGTTTTAAGGGCTAATGTACAGGGAAACTTATGATGAGTTGAAATATGTCTAATAGGTGCATAGAATTACCGAGGTTGGTAGAGTATGATCAAACAATTGAGATATATCTATCCTCCACCAACTCGTGTATCGATACCACCCAATCTTTTATACCTAAATTATGCTACTGAAACGTCAAAAACGGGGCTTAAGCGTTTTTTATGCTTCGTTTTGACCTTTTTCTACGCCGCCACTGGATCGACTTACAAAAGCTACAAGGCCCTTGGTTTAGCAGTAACGTTGTGCAAGAATTTCATCCAAATCCGCGTAGTACTAGGTATCAAAGTGATAGACAGGCCAAGAAGTACCGGACAGACGGGCAAACAGACAGCATACAGACAGACGAAGGGCAATTGGTGACGTGGCTTTTCGTGAAGTACGTGTCATATAACGTCCAAACAACATTTTTTCAAAATTTGTTGCGATTACAGTACTTCCTCGACAGTAGGCGTGGGAAGTAAATGAACCACAAATAAATCCATAATTCCTGAGGCTACACATCCTACCTGATACAATCTCGCTCCGATTCTGTGACATGTGTCTGAGAAATCACCGAGCGGAAAAAAGTAATAATAACCCCAAATCAGGCGCTGGTGCTGTGCTAACCTCGCTATCACTCCTCAACGAAGGCAAGGGCGCAGATCGACCGATATCCTCTATCATTCGTCGCTAATAAATGGCTTCCCGGAGATAGAACAACGCCATCTTATGGCAAAAAGGGCCTGCTGTCAGTTCCGATAACATATCGGAATCCCCATCGTAAATAGCGATATTTTACTTCATAGGACGGGCGGTGACCAATGAAAATTTCGTTTTTGTGGATTTTCTTTCCATGTGTGGGGAATTATTAGGGAGGAAACATTGGACCATACACATTCGAGAGACATTCATTTACGAGCAGGGAGCTTAAGTTAGGTTATTGGAATTAGGCCCAAAAATCGCGCGAAATTTTCATTGGATATTTTTTCTGGTCTAACTATTATACCATGCGTCAGTAACGCCATCTGGCACCATACTAATATTTTTATGAATTCAATAAGCTTAAAAATAAGTATAGATTCAGACAGGATTAGTACATAATTTTGTATGGAGGAATTTAGATCGCAGTTGCCATTTGAACTTACAAAATTGTGTTCCAAACGACGTCTGAGATATACATAATGGCTGAGGTTATCGTCAATTCCTTTTTTAATTTTCTAAAGCTTCTGCTTGATCTCTCATTCATAGTCATAGTCAAGTAGCCGTAATGTTTATATACGTACATTCCGGCTTTCTGGTTTGATCTACCAACTTGACCAGTTATGATTGCATAACCTTAAACGTGAACATGGATTTGTATATTGACTTTTCTCCGGTTTCAAATCTGTACCCAAAAATGACTATTGCAGTTTGAATTCAAGCGGTTCAGCTCTAAATGGCCTTTGGGATCATTATCTAGGTCAGGGCTGTCCAACTTAATGTGGCCCAAGGGCCACTTCAAAAAAATGCAGTTTGGACGGCCGCATTATAAAATCTTTCTATACAATATTATTACAGAGCTAATGTAAGAATTGTGCATATTGGGTATTTGAGAGTAATTTATACACGTGATGTATACTTGTCTCGTGAAGCGGGCCGCAAGAAAGGAGTTTGCGGGCCGCATGCGGCCCGCTTGCCGTATGTTGGACAGCCCTGATCTAGGTTATACTGGAGCTCAACGATAGATATCTTTTTTGATCTCATGAAACCTCCACAAGAAAGTAGCAATTCATAACTGAAGAACACTTCTTTCGTTATGGAGCATTCGTGTTCTTTGCGGTCTACACAGCTTGTCATACTGATTTGACTACTTATGACCGTCTTATGGAAATTGATTATTATGCAGTTTTGTGCTGATTACAAATCTTCTTTCAGAAATGGTGACATCTATTTGAATTAACAAGGCTGACCTCGAAATGACTTTTGAGACATCATGTAGGTCATATGAGAGATCTCCAATAAACTAATCTTTTGATTTGTGGGTAGCCTTTCTTAGAAAATGTGTGGTTGCCAAGTTATCGAATGGCTAGAAGGTGTTAGACAAGGACCAGTCGACCGAGGCAGTACCACCCGCTAGCTTTTCCCAGGGTGTCTTATAAATGTCTGCATGTTTCCACACCTAAGCTATGCAGTCGGTTATCGTCCAGAACAAAGAAATTAATGATCCCTAGAGCACTAAGAATTCTGGACGTAAAGTCACTCCACTCTCGGAATGTCCAGGTGGAGGGTGGGCTCGAGGGAACAACATCGAAGATAAAATTTGTTTCACAAACATCTGTGGTATTAGCAGCAAGATTGATGCTGTTCATGACTACCTGCAAGCCAATCGTCCCGCCATGCTTTTCTTGGCGGAGACAAAAATCTCATAGTTTACACCGATTAATCATCTTAACTTCCCAAACTTAGAGGTGCACTCCAATCTGAGAAAGAACGGGGGAGTTGTGGCTTTTGTCCGCAGCAGTCCTTCCTGCTCCAGAGATGTTTCTTTGGAATCCAACCGGAAGGACATTCTGTGGCTGCGCCTCAACTCCAAAACATTGCCCAAGTTTATTTGCTGTGTTATCGCTCTCCCTCGGACCGGAACTGGGATGACCTACTGGAATACCTCGCCGTCAAGATCGACATCCTGAACATCAATCACTCCGCTTCAGAGGTAATTCTTCTCGGTGATTTCAATGCCCATAATGAGCTTTGGTTGGGCTC